ACCCAACGTCTATCCAGTGCCCTCTGTACGGTCAGTAGACCAATCGGATCGTCTATCATAAACCAGAGTTTCAAGTCATCCACAAAAAGTAGGGATGGCACACCCAATTCATCGGGTAGGCCATTAAGGTATAACTTGAACAGAAGGGGGCCAAGGACTGAACTTTGCAGAACGCCGCTGAGAAAACGTTGGCGGAATGACAGGCTTGAACTCACCCGCACCCACATTTCCCTTCCGATTAAGAAAGCTGAAATCCATCCTAAGACTGGTCCAGTAATACCGTAGCACTTCAGCTTGTACCAAAAGCGCGAATGTGGAACGGTGTCAAAAGCTTTGGGAAAGTCAATGAACAGCACGTCCACGGCCTTTCCGCAATCAACGGCTTCGGCCCGGTGTTAACGAGCCGTTAACAAGATAGTAAGGCAAGAATGGCCGTTACAAAAGTCGTGCTGGAAGGGTTAAGCAAATCAAGCGCTCTCAAATTCTATTCGATCGTCCCTCGCGAGCGTCTGCAGTAATTTGACCAGCTCTGTCGGCAAACTGACCGGTCTATAGTTATCAGGGAGTTGTGTTACCTTTCGTAAAAGTGGGACAAACAACAGCCTTCCAGTCAGTGGGTAGAGCGCAGCTGCGTAGAGTTCACCAAAATTTGTGTGATTAGACGACAAAGTTTATCGGCCAATTCGTACAACTGTTTGGGAAAATTAGCATCCCCACCGGCAGCTTTATTGGGATTTTATTCCCTCAGAAGGCGGAGCACTTGAGTCCCCGTTATGGAAATCTCCTCCAAGTGGAAGCCCTCAGGAAGTTGTGCCCGCGGGCTGATATGCGGTAGCTGCGACTCTCGAACATAACCACCCGGATACTGTCATCCGAGCAAACAGGTTTTTCCGTGATCTGTGACAGCAGCAGTGCCGTCAGGGCCAAACAACACTGGGGTGCACGAGTGCAAGTTGCTTCGCCTTTTGACGTAGGCGAAGAAGCGCCTTGGATTTGATGAGGCTATGCGAGCAAGCGCTACTTCACGCTGTAGCCGATAACCTCGTAAAATGCTGACTGCAAGCATTTCGAGCCTCGCTATATCGCATGAAGTTGCGAGCTTAATGAGCAGATTAGTAAATACTCCAACATCCAGCAGGTCTGTTAAGTTGTTTGCGTGCAGCAGAAACCAACCAAGGCGGCGTTGCTCTAGTTTCGTTCCAACCAGTGTGGTATATGGGGGAGAGAGCTCACTCAAGTATCATTTAAATCTGACCCAGACCGTTTTAATGTCGTCGCTTTCTAAAATGACACAAGGCGATTTTGCGGCCCTGCCCGTAAGCTTTCTGTCTGCGGATAGACAGCTCCGTTGCATTTCGTTCCCGTCTCTAGGATCTATTCTGCAGTTATAAGTTGTACAATATCCTCAAGACGCTTGGCTTCTCGCTCGAAGGCTGTTCCCTCTTCTTTCTGTGAAGGGTGGCTACACATTGCACATTGTAACATCTGTCCAGGTCTTTACGATCCACTGCAAGGGACCGTTTCCTCAGTCGTCGTCTTTATTTGCAACCCTTTTCGGGCCTCGCTGAGTGTCCGGTGTTTTTTGAATTGCCTACCTCCAATCAGTCGAGGTCCCTCATGCCTGCACTTTGCAAAAGAAAAGGGATGGTCCACTGCTACCTATGATGCCTTCATCTGCCTCTGACCCGAAAACTTCCCTTGGAAAGCAAAATATTATTTTTTCTATTTCATCCCCAGAACCACTGTTCATTGACCGGCAGTTCACCGCACGCAAGGAGAAGCCTTATGCAGGGGTAGCGAGCAGCAGCGTAACTGCAGTACCCATGATTCCAGAGACCCCGCTATATAATAGGAAGACAAAAAGGCTGCAAAATGTAAGCATGATCCTAACTTATCTTAGCCACCGTTAAAATATGTTATCGATGAAGCGAATCAGTTAGAGAATATGTTTTGGGCAAATCCTTACCCCAAAAGACGCATCAAAGTGAAATAGGTCGATTTCCCGAGAGGAAACGAGGTCTGACCATCGTAAATGCCCCTGAGGCTAATAAGGAATCCGTGGCCGATAGGATATTGGAGGAACAAGCGTTTCTGAGGCGGATATTTTCGTTACTGTTCAATGCTGAGGCACAGGGCATAAAGTTCTTTTCCGTTGTTCTTCTCTGCAGGAAGCAGGATGACTCCTGGAAAGTTCGCCCATCTAACGATGGTCTGTCCAGATACAGTGGGATGCCGCCGTATCCTCTAGCGAACCTCACATATGAAAAGAGAAACATTCTGTTTTGAGCGACCGCTGCCCAGAAGCTCGCATTAAAATGAAGCAGGCCGTTGAACAATGAACAATGATTTATCACGGGATAAAAGCAAGTGCTTGACACGTCCAGTAGGATGGTAGCGGTGAATATGATGCAATTAAAATATGTTTGGGTCATCTATCGAACGTCTGCCAAGATGAATCTTGGCTTTCATTGTCTGAAAGTCCGCGCGCCATATGTTTGGAACTCGGTCGGGACGGTCATTATTCTGGCGACTAAGGGCGCACTTAAATGAGAGACATGCATGATCGCTAGCACCGAGAGGTGGTTGTACACAATATCTGTGACAAAATCAATGGATTTGGTGAAGATCAAGTCGAAGAGGGACGGGTTTTGACTCATCATGAATCGAGTAGGCCGATCGACGAACTGGTGAAGGGAAGCATGCATGGCCAGCTCGAGAAGCTCGGTAGCCAAACACCTTGTAACAGCGTCACAGGAAATATTCTGCCAGTCAATGTCGGGAAGATTAAAGTCCCCCATCACTAAACACCTATTTGCCGAATGTTCACGGATGAAATCAACGAGGCCCTTAGCAACGCTGTCGGGACTTCTATAGACCAGCACAACTTGCGCGGAGGCAATACACAGGTTAACTGCGAGGGCCACAACATCACCGTCTGGTGATCGGAAACTATATGTCTTAAGGACAGTAAATGCGGGGTTAACGTGCAAAGCAACGCCACCTCCGCGGCGATCAGAGGTGCGGTCACATCTCAGCAGTGCGTAGCCTGGCAAGCACACTTCACTGTCCGTGACCTCGATGGACAACCACGTTTCAGTGAATGCGAGAACATCTGGACATCAATCGTCGACAAGGTCACTGACTTCGCAGAGCTTGTTTCGCAGGCTACG